CTTACGTTTACACAATTTATTTCGGAAGTTTTAGATAAAGGGAAACAATTAATAAGTTGGATCGTTTTGGCATTTCCAATGATCGGCTTAAATTAATGGAGTCGTATTTGCCAGGTCGTAAACTGTACGTTGAATATAATAAGTTCAAGTCCAAAACTGTGATTCCTAACTGTGAGGTACCTCAGGGTTCTATTTTGGGTCCCTATTGTTTGTGATGTTTATAATTCATCTGTGTTGTGGTATTAAGATTAGTCATTCATATACTGATGATTTTAAAATTTATAGGATAATTTTTACTGAAAAAGATTGTGACTCTTTGCAAGAAGACTTAAATGTAATAAATAGGTGGTGTGATGAAAACTTTTTACCTCTAAACAAAAAAAATGTAACATTATCTCATTTTTTAGAAATCAGCAACCGGTTACTCATACCATTTTGAGAACGCAATGTTAATAAGAGTGAAGGAAACTTTGGACCTAGAACTTTTATTTGATCGAAAACTTTTTTTGTGCCTCATTATGAAACTTCCATTGCGGCTGCTAGAAAATCTATGGGATACATAAATAATACGAAATTGGAAAATATTTTTCAGCAGCACACTTGTGTTATTATGCAGTTATTTATTAGGTCTACACTAGAGTATGCAGCCATAATCTGGTCTCCGTCCTACGCTAAATATATTCTTATCTTCGAACGTTTTGGTTACTATCCGTTGAAAAATATTCCAACAAATTGCTTATTAGAAGAAGTTTCAGTTGTTCGTTTAGAAACCAAAACATATATAGCTATGGCCTCATTTATGCACAAATTGTTAAATAATTCAATTGATTGTCCAGAAATGTTGCATAAAATTTTGTTTTATGTACTGGGAAAAGCAATTCGAGCTAGAGAATTGTTTTCATGTTATGGCTAACTGTAATTTATTGAAGTTTTCACCTATACATAAGATTTGTTATGTTATTAATCATTACTTAGGAAGTGATATTGATATTTTTGACATTAAAATACATTTTTTTCTCAGCGAATTATAATTATATCATTAAGCTCAGAAGTAGTAATTAATTTTATCTACAACTGCTTTATAAAGGCCATATTACACAACTCATTCGGCATTGTTTGAGTTGAGTAATAAACCCTCTTATTCCACTAGTGGTGTAATAGAAAGATTACACCACTAGTGGTGTAATGAAGGTCTCCACTTCTTAGTTGAATTTTATTAACATGTAAATTACAACAAATTACATTGATTAATTCTTAACTTATTTGTTATACACGTCGATAATACATTCCTTACAATTACTGATATTAATACCAGATGAAATGAAATGATTTGTATCTTTGTCCATAATGCTTAGGTTTTGTTGACAAAATGTTTGTTACAGCTCCAGTATTTAAGATTTCTCTTCTAACAATGCTTGAATCTCGGTTGTAGCTACTAGCAGTATTTGTTCTGGCTCCAGGATCACCTCCAAGAATATCAGAAGCGGTCTTTTTCTTGTTTTCAATCGAAGTGTCGATATAACCTTCACATACAGCCCAAAGACTGCTGCACTTATAACTTTTCGACAAATCTTCAAAAAATGGCAACAGCACCTTCTATCTTGCTTCATAATTTATTTTCTTGGATGCACACCAGTCAGTGAACCGTTTATAAAATTTTTCGTATTTGGTTTTTGATTTATCAGGGAACAATGAAGACACTAGGTTTGCAGCAGCTTCTTCTGTTTCAAAAGGCAAGCTTTCTGCTTCAGAATCACTCATTTCTCGATTGAACAACATTTTTTTTCTAAAAATTGACGCGTTGTTTACAACAAATTTGAGCGGTTGTCATAACACTGCAAAAATTCTCTTGATTCTTGATTTTTAATTAATAAAAAAATTTAATCGGCGTTTTTTCTTTTTCATTTTTGGGGACTTGTAGATAAAGTTTTGTATTTCATACGTGGGCTAGAGCATATTACAGCAACTCGTGTGATTACAGATGACTCGGTCTAACGACCTCGTCTTCTGCAATCTTCACACTCGTAGTGCTGTAATAATGGCTCTATCCCACTAATAAGATAAATAACTATTATTGTATTTTTATATTCACTTTTGTCCTATAAATGGGTTACATATGTATCTCTTGGGCAAATATACGTATTATTATTTTATTATTTAAAGCAGTTGTTATTGACGGTTATTAATTCAACAAAAGCTCAAAATTAATTTTCTTTATGAACATGAGAATACAGTTTCCAGGGTTGTGCGGTTAAGTTTAATAGTAATAATATAAAAAGTTATTTGTTTTATGTTGATAGTAAATGCTGGCAAATCCTTGGTAATTTTTTTTTTCTATTAGTTAAATTAAATAAATTATTTTTCACATCTGAGTCAACAAATTGTCGCCACCTATCTTATCTTCCATAAAAATTAGGAGCACGTAGTTTTAAGGCACATATGACTACATTATTTATGCAACTGTTGTTTTTTTCAAACTCTGACATCAAGCATCCTTTTCGATTCAGTCATTTTTTACGAATAGATCAAGTTTTCTATTAAGAACAGCAGCCGAATGCCCACGCTTTTGATGTTTTATAATTTTTTAAATTTGGTCCTATCAATGTTCGTTGAAAATTGTAGAAATTTGAAATATTGTATTAAGAAAATTATTAAATAGGTATTTTTTGATTTATTTTGTATTTTTTCTTCCTCGTGTTTATGAGTTTTACGAAAAAAATTGGTCGAAGGTTATTTCGACAGAACATCCCTTGCCTCTGGAGTACAATAAAAAATATCCGGTTTTTCAACAAAATTATAAAATTTGATTTGCGATTTTTTTTGTAACAACCCCTAAAAGTAATAACATAATATGTTGTTATAAAATTTTGTTTTTTTCCAAAAATTTGAAATATCAAGACAGATTCATAAACTACATGTGTAGGACTATGTTAATTTATACAACTTAAAACCCATTTACTATGTACAACTTTGAGACGGCATCACATTGTTGGTGGGGATTATTACACAAAGTTTGGTTAGCGTCTTACCATCTACATGATATTCGTAATACCCCAATAAAATTTGACAACAATCGATCGATTTCGGAAATTATTATCTGTGGGACGGCAGTCAGACAAACAGACAGATAGACGAAAAGGGGAGAGCTACGTTTTTGTACTCTAGGGATCATAACACATCGAGAAAATGTGAAAGAATGCAGTTATCCGATGGAGTCGATTACAATATTTCCATAGCTTACGTTGGGGATCTTAAAGGTAAGTAGATATTCGAAACTGAATTTTATAGGTATATATATGAAGAAACATTATCAAAATTGTGGTGAAACTGCATAGAAAAATTTTGATTAGCGATCTGTTAAGCTGATAATAACTCCGAAACACATGCCAAATTTCAGAAGAGTGGGTTTAAATGTTTGTAAAAAAAATAAAAATTTTTATTTATATTTTATTTAGTGTTTAACTAATTGTGTCTCTAATAAAATCTTCAACAATCAGACAGACAAACACACAGAGAGAGTGAACCTGAAAAGGAACATTTTCGTATTATACCGTGAGTTCACTAGATAGGTAATTATTTAGCTGTGGAGGCTAAATTGAGAAATTTTGATTGTCTTTGATAATTTCAGCCCCCATGGTATATGAAACATCAAACTTTCGAATTTTTTAAACATACAAAGGCAGAATGGTTTTCTCTGTGAAATGTAAAATATTTATGATTGAGTCGTACCTCCGAAATTGCAATTGAAAAAGAGTGACATTAAAACAGTGGTGCTGTTTTACAAGAGTTCGAGCAAAAATTGTCAGACTTTAATTTTCTCATTAGAAACACTGCGAGTATTTCCTGAAACGAGAAATGTCTAACACAAAAAATGTGTTGGACGACCGCCATTTTGTACCAATAAAGTAGCAACGCATGGAAAATAACCCATCAATTAATTATCTTAATTGAGGCACATCTCGCAAGAAGTTGGATTGTCCTTGGGTGTCGGAAACCGAGAAGACGTTCAAAATTTCGGAGCATTCTTTGATCTAAATAATTAATGAACGCACGGTACAATACCAAAATATACATCTCGATTTTCATTTTCTCTATTTTTTATTTTGTGAGAGTTTTTAATTTTTCAATTTTTCAAAGTTTGAATTTTTGTCATTTTCTCCTTTTTCTATTTCTCTATGAAACAGCGTCTTTTGCTTTTGATTGAAAAATTGACAAATTAAAAATCGAACATTTGAAAACTTAAAAGTTTAAAAATCGTAAAATTGCTGACTTAAAATTGAAGTATCAAAAAACTGAAAAACATCTCGTACACAATACTTTTTAATGTAGATGCTCGTTATCGTTTATCAAGAGTAGAAAATGCCATATTTTTGATGAGAGAAAAAATCTAATTTATATTGACGCAATTGCTTGATTAACAGCCAGAGCAACCGCTCCCGTAGAAGCCGCCGGCCAGGCGTGCCACAGGCCTATAGCACGCCGGTCCAAGGCGCGACACGGACGTACGCCACAACCCCAATAATATATAGGCTTAAACTAATTAATTTAAAGAACTTTACAAATGTCAGAACAGAAAAACACCAACAGAGGCGAAAAAAGATTTCCGACATGAATATTCTCAAACTGAAACAACTCTGATTCCTTTGTTCTTCTTTTATATTTCCATAAGATAAAATTGACTCAGTTGTATATTTATCTGATGGTAAATTTTCCAAGATAAAAATAAAGACGAAGTAAAGAACCATAATTATTTTGAGATGGATGAAACTAATGCAGTGTGTTTGTCGAGCTTCTTGAAACTTAAATAGATTGGTTTTTCAGGTTTTGCTTTCGCACTGTTAAAAATGATAATCGACTCTAAAAAATACGAAATACTGATACAAATTGTATACAAATCCTAGTGCACATCGACAGTTGCTGACTATTGGAATCAAACCGACAGCGTGATATCATTGATAACTCATAAGATAAAGTTAATTTTTAAAATATATGTCTCCTAACACGAATAGTTTGATTGTTCAGCTAACATTATAAGTGCAGATAAAATGTTTGTAAGTCGTGCCTAGGGATAGTACCCAACTGTAAGTTAATAATTAAAATTTAGCACTAACATTTTTGCCACTAAGCGGCTAATATTCCATAATTTTGCAACAAACTTATTATAAAAATTATCTTTCTGGCATAAAAATTAAAGGAAAGGTCGTAGGTATATTAAATCAGCTTTACTAACACCACTGATAATATATTTCCCTTTTCTGATATTTATCACTGTTCATCAGTTGACGCAAATCTGTTCTATCCCACGAAATGAGTGCCTTAAGACATCATGTGGATTCCGAAAACCAAGGAAAATCGACCACATCAACGCGAAGTGGAGAAAAAGTAAGGGAAATTACTTATTTTTTACTTTTAGTCTATAATATTTCAATTCTACGTCTTAAAATGTAGTATCATAAGATTAGATTAGAATCCAAAAATATAACGTTATCTATGCGATTCAGTTTTTTTTTTGAAAAATAAAATATAGGTACTGATATTTGCTAAATAATAATTGATAAGTTCCGTGACCAGCTGCACGTAAATTTATCATCTTTTTTTTATAAAGAAAAAACGTTTCTGTTTTAACATACTGAAACACGAATTTGAATACCAATTCTCTTCAGACGTCCTAGAAACTCATTCGAAATTTCATTAAAGCCGAAAATACATATAAAGCGTGTCAACATAGTTTATGCACAGTACAAAGTAAACTATGTATTATAAGTACAACGTGTTTCTGAAGTTTGGAACAAAATTGGTAAAATATTTCGAAAAAAATTGGTAAAAGAGATATATTTTGAAATGTTTTGATTATTACTTTTATAAGCAGTGTCCAAAGGGATTTAGCCATTAAATTAATAAAGAATAAAAGATCTTTTTATTAAATTTTGACTGACAAACAATCGGTCCTGAAATTGCAATTTCAATTAAATTCATTTTTCAGAAGTTTAAGAAACGAGGCGGCACAACGGATAAGGGCAAGGATTACGAGCATCTGTATATGGCACATTTAATCTTAAGACTGACGCTTGATGACGACGTCGAAAACTTTTACTTATCTTCAAATGACGAAGAATTTGGGGATTTCGATGACGTTGTGGTTGAAATTGTATTTAAAGATCGTACGGAAACATACGCAATACAGTTGAAACACATCGACAAAAAAACTCCTTTAGGAAGAGCTCAGCTGACTGCAAAGACGGGAAAGAAAAATTTTAGCATCGAGAAATATTACGACACTTTTAATAATTGTTCAAGGCTGAAACAAGATGTCAAGATGATTTTGTTTACCAACACTTCGTTGAATATGGACGAGGCAAAAGAGTTCGATTTCGGTCAACTTTCAGTAAAATTTGTACCCAGCGAAGAAAATAAAATACTGAATACTTCAGGAAAAAATTCTTGTTGTCACACACTTAAAAATAATCAAGACGGTTCAAGTAAATATGATGCGTTTTTCGAAAAATTCTACTTCTACACAGATCAAGCCGATGTTACGCAACTTGACAATGATCTACGTGAAATGTTGAAGAAAAATTTTAAGTGTGACGAATCCATCGTCAGCCAGTATTTACAGTTTATAACCCAGTGGAGTATGAAAGCGGGTAACAAACTGAAGCTGGACAAAAGCTGGATGACGCGTTTTATTACATTGTGCGTTTTGTCACCCCATGTCAGGCCATTGGCATTTGATGCCACGAGATCTGTTAACGAAAAAGAAACGATCTTTAGAGAGGTGGCTTCAAAATTCGACTTCAGCATTATCGACGAAAGAAATTATGAGAAAATTAGTCACCTTTGGTCGGACACCATCAACGAGTTACAAGATTTAACAGAAGCGGGGAAAATTAATGGCAAATATTTACTTTTCCTGAAGACGCTCCGAGTCAAAGAAGATCTGTTCAGGGACGATCCGTTAAAGGTGAATAAGTTGCTGTGGTTGCTCGGAAAATGTCCTTTGGTTGTACAAGAATGTCCACAAGTTTACGGAACATTTAAAATTGGCTGCAAAAATGTCATCGTGTTGAAAGCTGCGACAAAATCAGTCGATGAGAACAATAAAACTACACTTGGTCAGAATGTGTTCCAAAAATTGTCCGATCTGAAAGAACAAGTGGAGTTATACGAAAAAATTCTGACCTCTTTCACGTATTCTATAGAAGGACAAAAGGAGACTGCTTTGACACATTTACTAGAAGCGTGCGAAAAAATCGATTCTTTGATCACTTCAGATAAAGTGGTCGAGATGTTGGAAGGTCCACTGCCAATAGGTAACCAAAAAGAAGTTTTACCACCTAGTCACGTTGAAAGAAGTCTGACGAAGATTTTAATAGACTTAGAATTTTTAAAACGTAATTCAAAAAAAAGTGTTATTTTTGTTAGCAGTGTCGCGAATTTTAAAAGTTTTAAGAATCTGCTACCCGATATTAAAATAAACGAAATATCAAATATGAATGAAAGAGAAAGTATGAAACTGTTCGACTGTGGACAAGTTTATATAAGCAAGAAACACTTTTCACTAAAAGAATGCACTGCTCTTTTCAAGAAGAATGCAGAAGTAGAAGTTCACCATTTCCGCTACTTTAACAAACAGTATTTGGAGTGGATAAGTAGTGAACATTCACAAGGACAACGCTTCAACGAACTCAAAAAATTTTGTTTGAACGATGAATTCAACGTGTATACGTTACACCAGTCTCAACTTTTTAGCAGTGGAGAGCAAGATGTCAACATTTTCTGTGCTGAACCAGGTATGGGCAAGAGCACGTTGATGAAGAGCTTAAAAACCAACACTTCTTCTGCAAAGTGGACGATCGTGATCTATGCCAGAAATCACTTTACTCACTTTAGAGAAAATGGAGCGGACGTTGTAAAGTTCAAGGAATATATTTTTACCAACGTTAGAAAAAAGTGCTCCAACATCGACCAACAAGTATTCAAAGCAATGCTGGAGCGAAATAACATACAAGTAATTTGGGATGGTCTGGACGAAGTTACAGATGCCACTCTAGAAGCGATTTTAACCTTGGTACAAACTTTAGCAGAAAGCGGAGTGCAGCAATGGTTAACAGCACGGAACAACTTGAAAACTAAACTGGAAAACAGGTTAGGTAGTTTTTCGCGAAATATCAAACAATTCGACGCCCAAGAACAACGAGAATATCTGAAAGAACGTTTGGAACTTCCGGCGGACGATTTAACCGCGACGTTTATTAAAATTAAGAAAAATCTTATGTCTTTTCCAAATTACAAAATATTGGGCATTCCTCTGCAGATTTATATGCTGACTGAATTGTTTTCAAAAGACAAGGAAAAATATTTGAATTTACTAGATAGCGTTTTTACCGTGCTCGATTTATATCGACATTTCGTAGATGAAAAATTTAAAGTTTTTTATCAAGAAAAGAATAAATTCGATTTATCTGTAGAACGCATGTTTCAAAAATTTGAAGACGAAAAGGAAGCTAAAATCAACTGCTATAAAACTGTAGCTGCTCGTTCTTACTTAGAAGATCTCTCTGTCACAAATATTGACGTAGATTTCGAAATTCAGTTAAAATATTTTTTGCAGGAAATAGAAAATGGGGGGGATGCTGTGGGATTTATATGTCAAATTGCAAGTAATGGAGGTGTTGAATTTAGTCACAACTCGTATGGCGAATATTTTGCAGCTCTGTATCTTTTTGAAACTTATCCATCGACGGCACGAGATACAAAATTCGTGTCGGACGGTCGCTACAATAATATTCGATTTTTTCTAGATTTAATGTTATGCAAAAATTCTAAAGGTTTTATATCCGTTGTATATAAAAATCCTTTACTGTTAGATGAATGCACTGAACTAGATCTGAATGAAAAAGATTGCATCGGTCGTGATATATTAGAGGTGACATGCGCTCGTAGTAAAAATTATAGGACTACTTATTCTAAGGCTAAAACAATTATAACTAGGCGTGGCAAATTTGCCACAAGATGGGTGGTTGCTAAAGGAGACACAGGTGACTTAGATTATATACCAATATCAGAAGCTTTTTGTAAAATTAGTACATCAATTGACATTCGTACCAAAAAATTACTGCTTTTCTTTCCTTTTTTAATTTCATATTACGAAACACGTTACACTGATCAAAACTATTTAAGAATGATTCTATATTATGCGATCAGATTTGATTTTGTTGTAATTTTTGAATACGTTGAGCATTATCCTAAATTGAAGGAAGCCTTTAATGGCATCAACTTCGGCAGTATTTTAACTGTCGCAATGTATTACAGATCGCAACGAATCTTAGAAAAACTTTTCTTAAATGAGCAATCTTACTACAATATTCCTTCTGTAAGCTCTTTAAGACTTCGCCGCAATAAAATAGACGAAATATTCGTTTATATTTTATTAAATATTGAAATTAGATTAGACATTCCAAATTCCGAAGGTCAGTTTCTAACGCACTACGCTTGTGAAAAAAACTTGCATAAGACGCTCAAATTGTTAAACGCGAAAAATGTTAAATGGGATACTTTTGACGCAAATGGTGGATGTGCTATCCATAATGCGTGTACGAAGAAAAAAATGGATGTATTAAAATCACTCATCAGAATTGGTTGTGACATCAACGTTCCAGACGCAAATGGTTACTTTCCAATACATTATGCGTGTCAGAACTTAAATGAAAAACAGATTAGTTTCTTGGTAACCCATGGTGCCGAATTAAATGTTCCGAGTCCAAGAGGTTGGATGCCGCTACATCTTATGTGCGAGGAAGGCTGTTTTGATATGGCAAAACTGTTAATGTTACACGGTGCAGATTTGAATGTACTGGATGGCCAAGGGCGTTTGCCCATTCATTATATATGCGAAAAAGGTAATGTAGAAATGGTAAAGCTAATGGTAACTAATGGGGCGAAAGTAGATGTTCCCGACAAAAATGGAAAATTTCCGATACACTATATGTGCAAATTTGGCAATGTACACATGGTAGAGTTGTTGGTTATGAATGGTGCGAAGTTTGATGTAGCAGATGTAGACAGCCGATTACCGATTCATTACGCATGCGAAAATTATTCCGGTGGTTTTGAAATATTGCAGTTTTTAGTAGAAAATGGAGAAAGTGTTAATGTACCAGATACAAAATTACCCATACATCATGCCTGTAAATATTTTTCTGAAAGTTGCGAAATGGTTTCCTTTTTGATAAAAATGGGCTCTAAAATAAATGACAAAGATCTAGACGGTGAACTACCAATACACTACGCTTGTAAAAGAGGACATTTAGATACAGTAAGACTGTTGATAAAAGAAAATGCAAAAACCGATATTCCTGATAGATATAGCAAGTTACCGATTCATTACATGTGTGAGCAAGGAGCAGGGGATATTGTCGAATTACTAATTAAGACTGATAAATCTGTGATAAATGTTGCAGATGCAAATAATTTTCTACTTTTGCCTTATGCCTGCGAAAATAGATATTTTGATTTAGATTTAGATGTTCTTGAATTAAGTGGTTGTCCGCCACTACATTATGCGATCGATTCTGGAAAATTAGATCTCGTAAATTTTTTGGTGGCGAATGGTGCGAAGGTCGATTTTCCTGATGAAAAAGCTCTATTGCTTTTGCGCAATGCATGTGTAAATAAGCATGTGGATACAATGATTTTTTTGTTGGAGAATGGTACTAAAGTGAATGATCAGTTACAGATCCATTTTGTGTGCCGAAAAGGATATCTTGATGTACTGAAAGTACTGATAGCGTATGATATGAAAATAGATGCTCCAGATGGATTTGGCATACTACCGCTGCATTGTGCTTGTGTGGCAGGTGACGTTGACATAGTAAATCTACTTCTAGCTAAAGGCGCAGAAGTAAATATTCCGGATTCAGATGGTAACCTACCAATGCATTTTGCGTGTTTGAATAATGAATTTGGTTCCCGAATAATATCACTTCTACTAGAAAAAAATGCAAGCGTCAATGTTCCGAGTGCAAAAGGCTACCTACCGATACACTTTGCGTCTGGATTGGGGTCCAGGATTATAGATCTCAGTTATTACTTTAGGATCGAGAATAAAATTAATAACAATGTACTGAGAATGTTGGTGGAGCTAGATGCGAGCTTGAATACTCCAAACCCAGATGATCTGCTGCCTATACATTCTGTGTGCGAAAGTGGTGAAATAGATATGGTAAAATTACTAGTAAGCAATGGTACGAATGTAAATGCTTCTGATGCACGTGGACGGCTACCAATTCATTACGCGTGTGAGTCGACTGTTTGCACTGATGAAATACTGTCGTTTTTAATCAAAAAAGGTGCCAGCGTGAATGCTGCAGATGTAGATCGAGTGTTACCAATACATGTAGCTTGTGCCAAAAGTAGTCTACATACAGTAAAATTACTAATAGCACACGGTGCAGATATATATGGTACTGATAAGAATGGACGCCTGCCCTTTAATTACGCATATAAAAACAGATTATACCGTCGTAGAATAATACTGAAATTTTTAAGAAAAGCTACTGTTAAAACTTATTAAAAAATATTAAGAATTAACAGTTTTAAAGCACAAAGCAAAGAATTAGCAATTACGTTGTTTATCCAACAAATTGTCCTTGTTTTCAAATTTTAAGCTCAAACTCCTTAAAGATTCCTTTAGATTTAGCTACTTTTACGTCTTCTTGTGTGTAGCAGAATGTCCATATTTTTGTTTTTTTTTTAATAACAGTGAGTGTTGTAGAGATAGGTAATAACTAATAATGTAAGAAAGTTCATTTCGTGTGTAAATAAAGATTCATTTAAACCAAACGCTGTAAGCATTAGTCAAAAATTGATCGAAAACTACTTAGACAAAATTCCCTCGCTCCTTAACTAGGTTCTAAATATTATAACAAATGAATTAAAAATACGTTTATTCACGAAAAGATGTTGAGATCACCGGCACGCAGTGCGAGTGAGATCATTTCTTTGAGTTAATAAATATGTTTTTCTACTTTGCGTTAACAATGGCCTCATTATTAAACCGAAAACAGTTTAATAATGGGATCAATTGTTAAACTGTATTTCAGGTGGCGTGCAAGAAGTGGGGCCCCCTTCTTCCATTTTTTGAGGCAAACTTAGGTTAGATTGTTAGTGTTCGGTGGTTAGATGTCAAACTTTGACATTGTGAAGTTAGCAACAACGCTACATCTAACCTTTCGAATTAAAAGGCCCTAAATTATAACCTTGAATTTTTATTAATTTTTTGTTTCCGATCAGATGCAAAGTAGAAAAAATAGTATATTATACTCGTTTAATAAGACGCATTGTGGCACTTATTCCTTTGGAGCACTCCTCGCTGCGCTCGTCGTGCCCCAAACCCATGCGTGCCACAATAAGACGTCTTATTAAACTAGTATAATAATATACTATTAATTCACGCGGCGTACATATATGTTTTTCAATTAATAAATAAAAATTCGAATCATAATAACCCCAATCGAGAAATTGTGTAGACTGCGAAATTAATTTTTGTGACAACCAGCTGAAGAAAATGTTATCTATGGAGGAAAATATTGATATAAGCAGGTTTGTGACATCGCAATGATTATTTATGAGGTTTAAACTATTCATTGTTATGGATTTCATCAAGTGCAGCTTTCCTAAAATAACAGTCTGCAGAGCACAGATCAAAGAAATCAAGGTGTTCACACTCGAAGGAATGGAGAGGTTCTTAGACACTGCTTCTGATGATAAATATTTACTGCAAAAAGTAATTTTTATCGTGGGAGCTTTGATTGGAAGATGTAGAATTGGTGAATTGATGCTCATGCCAGTCGATGATGTTGAACACAAGCTTAGCGTACTTGTAGTCCAAATTCCGGACACGAAGACTCATATCATAAACCCAAAACATTTACCAAGTTGAAGTTAATTTAAATAGATCCCAGAAAAATTAATTTTTTTAGTAATTAATAGAGTTACCTAATGACTCCATTTTTCTATTTTTCGATTTTTCTGCTTTCCTTAATTTTATTTTTTTTTAATTTTCCTATTTTTAAATCTTTTTATTCTTTGATAATTCAATTATGTTACTTTGTGGTTTACACACATAAAGAATATAAATATTGCTGAATTCAACGAAACGATAAATTTTGGCAAAATAATATGATAGAGCCCTACAAAAATTTTATTTATATGCCTCACTTTGGTGATAGTAGATTCTCGTTATTAAATAAATCACCCCATCCGATAAATTGTAAAAAAAATTGTACATTTAAAAAATTTTATTTGCGTTATACCACGTAAAAAACAACGTGCCAAAGTGTACAAAGAGTACTAAAATAATAAATATAAATTTTAGAGCTCAATGTTGTCTTTACACTGATATAAAAGTTGATACGAAACATGCTCTCTCCTCGTCTAAAAAAGTGATTTCCTTCGAAGAATGAACGATTAATTAAACACTAAAAAATCACTTATTTTAATATAGTTATATATTATACACCAAGTGCGTTAAATACGTTTTTATTCACGAGAAAATGTTCGTAAATTTTATAAATGAAAAATGTACATTTATCTTTCGTGTTTTGACAAATTGCCATTTTTAATGATAATAAATGATAAAATTTAATTTTTTTTTAATTTACTAGTGACCAAAGAATCACTTGTCACAGTTGTTAGGAAGTCAATAATTGCCTTAAAATGTCAAAATTGAATAAAACATTGTATCTTCCCTAAAAATTTTTAGACATAATCTATTAATTGAAATGTCGATCTTTTTTTCAAAGTTAAAATTACGCCTGTGCAATGAACTTCTATTTAGCTCATTTTTCGGTCTGTTACGGGCCACTCTTAAGTTGACCTTGCATCTCAAAAACAAATGAAGCAAAAAAAAAATTTTTCATTGAAATTTTATTTTTTTATTTTCTTAGGGGGTATATCATTTGCCACAATCAGTCTTATCAAGTACTAGCTCCACCCAGCCGCCCTGTATTTTCTTGAAAGATATGTCATTTACCAAAATCAGTCGTATCATAGAAAGTACTAGCCCCGCCCACCCGCCCTCTATTTTCTTAGAAGGTATATCATTTGCCAAAGTCAGTCTTATCGTAGCAAGTACAAGTCCCGCCCACCCGCCCTCTGTTTTCTTAAAGGGTATATCATTTGAATAGGTACAGTTTAATCAGTTTAATGCCATATTTGACAAATTTTAGAGAAAAAAAATAAACCATGCTTGATTTTCTTTGACAGATTTTTCTTTTAATTTTTAGCTATTTAGATTTCATTTTGTTTCATGTTCATATCATGTTTATTTCGTCTGTTATTAATTTTCTCTATTTTTTTTTTATTATGCAACCACTACATCAAGCTACATTTTCATATGAAGAAAAATAAGCTTATCAAATAATCCGATCAAATAATAATAAAAATTTTGAGTGTCCATTACTTTATCATAACCCCGTATATCTATCTACGTTGAATAACTCATGAACAACGAACCTACAGTTCCAACTTGCTAGAAAGATTGTGCTCATTCACTCTTTTCCAAGATTGTTATTTTCTACTCTTGTATTTCTGGCAAAGTAATAACTTCGTCTAAAAATAAAAATAAAAAAAAACATTTATGGATTTACTGGTATTAATAATTCCTTACCTAATACCCAGTACTCATTAATTTCATACGAATACCGACGCTACCTTTCTTCGAGCCCCGAAAACCCCACAAACGTATCTCCCCCGCACCCCTCCCCCTTCCACTCCGGAACCCTGCTATTATATCGCTGCGAAATTTTTAAGTGGCACCGGTAATGACGAGAAAGCGCAATTCCAGGCCGACCGGACTAATCCGGATGAGGCAACCTTTCCGATCCCTGCGGAACGGAAAAAACCCTCCGCCTAAACCGATATCATCAAATTTTCCCGCGTCATCCGAACGCGAATTAATTACGTCCAAGTGTCAAAACTATGTCGAAATTGCGTCCGGGTAATTAGGAGAAGACGTGTGATTGGTTACGCTTTTCCGGTTGACACTTTCAGCGCGTTATTAATTCCGCGTCATCGAGAAACCGGCCCGAATTTAATTTCGCTCGATGCGTTTCTCTGCTTAAAATTCTTCGGGCGGTGCTGGCGTTGACTTTTTCAAATTAAACAGTCGCAATGAGGTGAAAGATCGGTTTTTTTAAAAGAGCAATTTAGGAGGGTGATTTATTTCGGGGAGGGGGCGCGAGGGACAAGGTCGGAGGCGCTGGGGGAGGAGTGAGAGGCGGTTATTAACACTGGAAGTGAGTTAAGACAAACGAAAGTGTTTTAACTTTTAGTAAAATGGGTGATTTTTTTAATTCGCAATTTGACAACATTGTTGTCTGTGACTGAACTTTGAAAGCTAGGTTATGTTATATTCTAAAATCAAAATCATTCTAAAACAAATCACCACAGGCCTCCAAGGTTTCTTTTAGATTCGTAAAATAATATGAGAAACACTAACATTTTTTACATTTTTTCAAAATATGGACAGCAAAGCTATCAAAATTCTTTTATTTTTTTCAAAAATAAAACACCTAGGACCTCCAAGATTCTTTCAAAATCGTTCTAAAACAAGCCGCAAATTCCATTAAATTGATCTAAAACATTCACGCTAGAAACTATAAGATTCTATCTTTTTTTTTCAAAAACATGGCCCTAGAAAGCCTCAAGATTTCCAAAATTCTATGAAAATTGAAAAAAACACCAGAGACTGTCAAGGATACTTTAAAATCATTCTAAATCAAAACACCACGCAGTCCCAAGGTTTTTAAATTCTTTCAAAAATCATAGGAACTCCAAGACTCGGTCAAATTTTTTCAAAAACAAATCTTTAGGGATCCTCAAGATTCTTTAAAATCTTTTGGTCTTTTTCATAAGAATTAACTCATCAGGAACCCACAAGCTTTTTTCAAATGCTAAAAAAGACACTATAGTTTAAGATTTTTTCAAATTCTTTATAAAAACAAAATATGCATCAGGACTCAATAGTTCTTTTAAATATTTTCAAAATGTAGGCCCTTAGAGTCCCAAAATTCTTCATAATTGTTTCAAAAACAAAAAACCGAAGACCCTCAACGTTCTTTAAAGTCGTTCTAAAATAAAGTACCAGGGCCTCCCAATGTTCTTTTAATTTTTTTCAAAAGTAATAGGGTCTAGGAACCCGAAAATTCTTTCAAATTTTTTCAAAAACAAATTTCCACGGATACGCAAGATTTTTTAAAACTTGTTTTTTGGTCTTTTTGATAATCAAATTAACATGAACCCCAGTTTCTTTTAAATTTTAGAAAAAATAAAAGTAATAGAGCAAGATTTTTTTAAATTCTTTAAAAAAAAAAAATATGTACAATCAACTCCCAAGGTCCTTTTAAATACTTTTAAAAATATAGGTTCTACGAGAGATAGAATTCTTTATAATTTTTCAAAAACAAAAAAGCGAAGGCCTTCAACATTGTTTTAAAATGGTTCTAAACAAGGTACCACGAACTTCAATTGTTCTTTTAAATTGTTTCAAAAAATTATTTTGAAAACAAAAAACTTCAGGTACCCTAAAGATTCTTTAAAAATGATTCTAAAATAACTCACCACAAATCTCCAACGATCTTTTAACCTTATTGAAAACCAAATGACTAGAAGCCCACAAAAAATGCTTTTCGAATTCTTTCAAAAAACTAGGCACTAGAAACCTCAAGATTCTTTCAAATTTCTTCAAAAACGAAACTCCAGGAACCCTACAGATTCTTTGAAATTCGTTCTAATACAAAACACCAGATTCTCAAAATTATTTAAAAGTTGTTCTAAAACGAAATACCAGGGATTCCCAAGATTCTCTCAAATTCTTTCAAAAATAAATCGCCACAGGCCTCCAAGGTTCTCTTAATATTTTTGAAAACCAAACCACTGAGAGCTCAAAAGATTCGTTTAATTCCTAAAAAAGATACTAGGAACCCTAAGATTCTTTCAATTTTTTTCAAAAATAATACACCAGGAACTGTCAAGATTCTTTTAAACACATTCTTGAACAAAATACCACGTACTTCAAAGGTCCTTTTAAATTCTTTCAAAAATGATATGATTCTTTGAAAAATAATATGATTCTTTCAATTTTTTTCAAAAACTAAACCCCAGGCACAATCAAGATTCTTAAAATTCGTTCTAAAATAAATCACTCCAGGTCTCCTAGGATCTTTTAGTCTTTTTGATATTCAAATTATCAGGAAACTACAAGCTTCTTTTAAATTCTAAGAAAAGTGTATATTTAAGAAGTCTTTCAAAAACAAAATACCTTATTTACCAAAACTTCTAAGTTTTTTAATTCCCTTCAAAATATAGGTTCTAGAAACCCGAAAATCCTAATAATTTTTTCAAAAATAAAAGACCAAGGACTTTCAAGGTTCTTTTAAAAGTACCAGGGACTCCCAATGTTCTTTTAAATTCTTTCAAAACATAGGAACTTCAAGAATCTTTCAATTTTTTTTTTCAAAAAAACTCCAGGTTCCTTCAAGAGTCTTCAAAAATGATTCTAAAATAAATCACCACCGACCTCCAAGGTTCTTTTAATCTTATTGATGAAATCCAAATAACTAGAAACTCTCAAATTCTTAAAAAAAATTCCAAGGTTCTTCTTTATTATTTTAAAAAGCTTGGCATTCGGAATCCCATGAATGTTTCAAACTTTTTCAACAACAAAACTCCAGAAAAAGGTACTTTAAAATTCATTCTAAATTAAAACACCAAAGGCTCCCAAAAGTTTTTCAAATTCTTTCAAACACAAGGTTATTTTAAAGTTGTTTTAAAACAAAATAGGATTGTCAAGATTCTTTCAAATTCTTTCAAAAATAAATCATCACAGGCCTCCAAGTTCTTTTAGTCTTTTTGAAAACCAAACTACTAAGAGAACACAAGATTCCTTTAAATTCCTAAAAAAGACAACAGAAACTCCAAAATTTTTCATTTTATTTATCAAAAATAATACACCAAACACCGTCAAGATTCTTTCAAAATCGTTCTCAAATATAACATCACAGGCCTCCAAGATTCTTTTAATCTTTCTGAAAACTAAATCGTCAAGAGCCCACAAGATCCTTTCAAATTTTTTAAAAAAGGTACTACTATACACCAAAATTCTTTCAAATTCTTTCAAACAGAAAAGACCACAGAACCTCAAGTTATGTTAAAGCCATTCTAAAACAAAATACCACGAAATCCCAAGAAATTCCATGGACCCTCAAGATTCTTTAAAATTCTTCTAAAATAAAATAAAAAACTCAAGGATCTTTTGATTTTCTTTTTTGATAATCAAATCATCAGGAAACCACAAGATTCTTTTAAATTGTTAAAAAAACATACTATGGGACCCCCAAGGTTTTTTTCTAATCTTTTCAAAGAATATTATCTAAAAACTCCAAAATTCTTTCAGATTTTGTCAAAAACACACCTCCAGAGATATCCTCAAGATTCTTTAAAAGGTTCCAAGGTTCTTGCAATCGTTTTTGAAACCAAACCACTAAGAGTACACAAGATTCTTTAAAATTCCTAAAAATAGATACTAGGAGACCCAAGATGTTTTTTTTTTTTTGAAATATGATATATCAGGAACCGTCAAGATTCTTTCAAAATCGTTCTAAAATAGAACACCACAGGCCTCCAAGATTCTTTTAATCCTTCTGAAAACTAAATCACCAAGAGCTTACAACATTTTAAAATCCTTAAAAAAACACTACACACCAAAACTTTTTTTCAAATTTTTTCAAAAACAAAATACTAGAGAACCTCAAGTTTCCTCTAAAACCATCTTAAAACAAAATACCGCGAACTCCCAAATCCTCTTAAATTTTGTCAAAAATAGTATGACCTAGGAACCCCAAAACTCTTTCAACTCTTTTTAAAAACAAAACTCCAGAGACTCAAAATTCTTTAAAATTTATTCTAAAATGAATCACTCGGAGGATCTTTTCAATTTTTTGAAAAATAAATCATCAAGAACCCACAAGATTCTTTTAAACTCTTAAAAAAAAACACACAAAATGGGACTCCCAAGGCTCTTTCAAATCTTTTCAAAATATAGAATCTAGAAACTCCAAAAATATTTTTTTTCGAAAATACATGTCCAGGGATCTTCAAGATTATTTAAAATAAAACACCACAAACTTTCAAGCCTTTTTTAATCTTTTTGAAAACCAAATCACATTGTTTTCAAAAACAAAATACCAGAGAAGTTTAAAGAGTTTTATAAATTAATTCTAAATTAAAAGATGGTTTAGTACTTGCTACGATAAGACTGATTTTGGCAAATGAGATACCTTCTAAAAAAAGAGAGGGTGGGTGGGCGGGGCTAGTAGCTGCTAAGATAAAACTGATTTTGGCAAATCATATACCTCCTAAGAAAAGAGAGGGAGGGTGGGCGGGGCTAGCAGCTGCCAAGATAAAACTGATTTTGGCAAATGACATCTTGGAATACCAAATTTCTTTATAATTGTTTCAAAGGTTTAAAGGTTTCACTAAATTCGTTCTAAAGCAAAGTACCAGACTCTTTCAATTTTCTTTTAAATTCTTTGAAAAAATAGGAATTTCAAGATTTTTTCAATAAAAAGAATCACCAGAGACCTCCAAGATTCTTTTGACCTTATTGAAAACCAAATCACTACCCAAAAGATTATTTTAAATTTGTAAAAAAGACACTATAGGCCAAGATTCAGAGACCTTCAAGGTCGTTTTAAAGTCGTTCTAAAACAAATCACCAAGTGATCATAAGGATCTTCTGTATTTTTTCAAAAACTAGACACTGAAAACCTCAATATGTGATTCTTAAGTCTTTTTTAAACCCTTTCAAAAAATAGGATTTAAGAACCCCAAAATTCTTTCAATTTTTCTAAAAAA